AGTATAATCATTACTGCTCGAACAGGTTGATGTTGATTCTTGCTTGATTTTGTCGAAATTGTTTTTCGACCTCGGTGGAAGGTCGAGTATATTCATTATTGCTTGAGCATGTTGATGATTTGAATTTTTTGCTTGATTTTGTCGAAATTGTATTTCGACCTCGGTGGAAGGTCGAGTATATTCATTATTGCTTGAGGAGGTTGATGATTTGTATTTGAATTTGATTTTGTCGAAATTATATTTCGACCTCGGTGGAAGGTCGAGCACATTCATTATTGCTTGAGCAGGTTGATGATTTGTATTTGAATTTGATTTTGTCGAAATTATATTTCAACCTCGGTGGAAGGTCGAGTATATTCATTATTGCTTGAGGAGGTTGATGATTTGNNNNGAATTTGATTTTGTCGAAATTATATTTCGACCTCGGTGGAAGGTCGAGTATATTCATTATTGCTTGAGCAGGTTGATGATTTGTATTTGAATTTGATTTTGTCGAAATTATATTTCAATCTCGGTGGAAGGACGATTATATTCATTATTGCTTGAGGAGGTTGATGATTTGTATTTGAATTTCAATTTGATTTTGTCGAAATTATATTTCGACCTCGGTGGAAGGTCGAGTATATTCATTATTGCTTGAGGAGGTTGATGATTTGTATTTGAATTTGATTTTGTCGAAATTGTATTTCGACCTCGATGGAAGGTCGAGTATATTCATTATTGATTGAGCAGGTCGATGATTTGAATTTGAGCTTGATTTTGTCGAAATTGTATTTCGACCTCGGTGGCAGGTCGAGTGTATTTATTATTGCTTGAGCAAGTTGACGGTTTTATTTGACTTTGTTTTCGCAAATGGGTTTTTTCTACGTGAGAGTGGAGTCAGGTTTTTCAGTCTTCGAGAGGATACACAACTGGCTTGAATTTCAAATTTTGAACTAGGGGCCGATGGGATGAGGTAACCAGAAAGGTTTATTGTTTATTGACAAAGCAGAATGTATAAGTTCAAATTTTCAAATTCAAGACTCCGAGGATCGGTCCTGTGATATTCAACGTCGATTTCAGTTGTCGACCTCAGAGCCAGGTCATTCAATTTTCGACCTCAGAGGCAGGTCTTTCGAGTTTCGATCTCAGATTCAGGTTTTTCGGTTTTCAACCTCAGAGGTAGGTCTTTCGAGTTTGATTTCGGATAAAGGTATTTCAGTTGTCGACCTCAGAGCCAGGTCATTCAATTTTCGACCTCAGAGCCAGGTCTTTCGAGTTTCGATCTCAGATTCAGGTTTCTCAGTTTTCGACCTCAGAAGCAGGTCTTTCGAGTCTGATTTCAGATAAAGGTATTTCAGTTGTCGACTTTAGAGTCAAGTTTCTCGATTTTCGACCTCAGAGCTAGGTCTTTTGTTTTTCGACCTCAGTGGTCATTCAATTTGCGGCCTCCGACCTCAGGGTAATTCGATGTTTGACCTCAACAGCAGATCAGTCAGTTTTCAACCTCAACGGTCTCTCGATTCTCGATTCGCGGCTTTCGACTCAACGGTCTCTCGATCCTCGATTCGGGGCTTTCGACCTCAGCGGTCTCTCGATTACTCGATTTTTGGTTTTCGACCTCAACTGTCTCTCGACTCTTAGTTCTCGGCTTTCGACCTCAACGGTCTCTCGATTCTTAGTTCTCGACCTGGAGTTTTGATTCTCGATCTCGAATGCAGATCTTTTTGGTGTTCGACCCAGAAGCGGGTCACTCGATTTTTGATCTTATTGGTCATCCGGCTTCTGATGCTTGACCCCAGTGGCGGGTCACTTAACTTTCGTTCTTTACGACCATTCGGTGTTCAATGTTGACTCCAGTGACAAGTTACTCTATTTTGCACTCTTGGATCGAGTTATGCTCACTCGACCAGAGTGGGGGGACTAGATGATATAGCCACGGCTAGTACTGCCGGCTCGACCGGTAGTATCTGATATAGCATGTCGTACCCGACCGGTTTTTGTGGATATATATTGAAGAATACGCCTATACATGGGCTAAGACACTTGATATGATAATATGGGTCGAGCCCAACCTAGGCCAGGCCCAACTTGGACTATAAGGTACACTCCCCTTATAAAAGGGGGAGGAGGTACTCATTCCCTCTCATTCTCTATTCATTCTCTAAGCACTCTCTCCCTACCCTCTCTCTCTATGCATATGAATCCAGTACTGACTTAAGCATCGAAGGCCCAAAGCCGGGCACCCCTTTCGGGGTCCCGAACTTTGGGTTCTTGCAGGTACGGCGGCCTTCCGAGTCGAGGGAGCCCGGGTGACATCTTTGTCCCATCATATATAAATTATTTTTAACAATTATTAGAAATATGATTGATTCTTAAAAAGAATCTTTAATTGATAATTATTAATTAAATGTTCTAAATTGTATTTTAAAATTTTTTAAAAATACGTATGGTAAGTGTATTTCTTAAATTAAGTGTATTAAGTATAGTAAGTGTATTTCTTAGATTTATTTTGATTTTGATTCCATATTTTTGATTGTATTCATAAAAAAAAATTGGATAGAAAAGGTATGCTAATAAATAGGGATTTTGTTAATTTACTACTTTTAGGCAATAATTAATGAAATTGGCGGAAAAGTATTTCTAAAAATGAATTATGTTAATCCTTATTATATATTAATAGATTTAGAAAAACTTAATACCAAATTTGACTTTTTCTGTACCATAAAACGAGAATAATTTTCCTTCATTTTCTTGGCAGAGTTGAAGAGCAGAAGAGCAGTCGACACAACACATCATCATCACCCGTGACAGTCCGCCTTGAGGTCCGACGTGATGATGCATCCTCTCCCTCCTTCGTCTTCACCATGCACTGCCAGGGGATCTACATCCTCAACATCACCAGAATTGGTGAGGTAAATTCAGCAGCTCAAAATCGTCTGACAATAGAGAAAATGGAACCTAAAATCGGGATAGATTTATTAACATTAGGTGAATTTTTAGAGAAATTTTTTTGCCCTAACCATTGATTGAGTTTGTGAAGAATTTGCACAACACACATTTGCAGTTGAAGAATCCTTGCAAAATTGATAGTTTATGTGCTGAAACTCATTAACTCGAGGATGAATTACAAAAAAAAAAAAAAAAAGTTCTCTGATGGATTTTTTGTTGCTGTTAATATTAATCGCCTATCATTGTTTAGCTTTTGTGCAAATTGGTAATTTATAGTTGTTTTTAAAATTATTAACATATTATGAACTGATTTGCAGAAAAATGTCAACATTCATGGTTGTTTCTTTGTAACAATTCCTTGAGCAGGTTGATTTTTTTTATTACCACTAATATTGATTTTTCCCGAAATAAATCTTCTTCTCCCCAAGCCTTCGGCGCTCGTGAGCTTCGACGTTTTGACTATCTTTTTTCATTCGATTTTGCTGCTCTCCCTTCAGAGGGCGTATAAAAAAACATATGCTTCATCCTTTTTCTTCACCATCTGCTTGAATATTGGGCGAAGATAAATCGTTGTTATCAACGAGGAGAAAACAAGCGTCTAGGAGAAGAGATGTGAAAATGGGGATTCGAAGGTCGGAAAAAGTGATAGGCTTCGATGGCTCCGATTCTCATTTTTTTTTATTTATGCGTGTTAATTTTTTTTTTAAAGAAAGGAATAAAGTAGCTTTTTTTTAGTCAGTTTGATGTTTTATTTGATGTTTGTCTATGTTGATTTTTTGAAGTTTTTTATAAAGTAGATTTTTGAGTGTTAATTGATCATTACGTGTGTTAATTTTTGGGAAAAAAGATTATAGTTTATTGAGTGTTAATTTGATGTTTATCTATGATTTCTTGAAGGTGAGAGCTTGAATAATATCTATAAGTTTTTTTTGGTTAAGTATTTTTTTTAGGGTTAACTGATGTTTATCTATGATTCTATTATGTTTATCAATAGTTTGTATTCTGAAAATAAAATATATATAAATTTATATTTTGTGTGTATAAAAGTATTCATTTTATAACTATAATATACTGAAAATAAACCTTATATATTTTTTCTTATATAATAAAATGGTTTTTTCTTGTATAATAAACTGAAAATAAACTATATATAAATTTAAATTTACAATCTATTGTAAATTATAATGGTTTATAAACCTATAATAAACTAAAAATAAGTATTCTTGTAATGGTTTATAAACTTATAATAAATTTAAATTAATCTAAGATATAAATTATGGTAGAAAAACTGGTTAATAAACTAAAAATAAATTTAAAATAAACTATAAATAAATTTAAATTTAACTGGTTCATAAACTCAAAATAAATTTTAAAAAAAACTATAAATAAATTTAAAATAAACTATATATAAATTTAAATTAGGAAGGTAATTTTTTGGTTCACTTATTGGAGAGAGAAAACGAGTTTAGAGAATGGATTGGCCATTAACGCCTTCAAATGTTTCATTTGGAATTAAGAATGTTTGAGATCGTCAATTTGGAAATAACTTTTACATGGGTCCACTAAGTTGAGTCCTCAGCAGAAAAAAGAAAAGGGCCGGATAATTTAAAGCCCATGCAAATTATGTTATACGATTATGTGATGATATTTTAAAGCCGTGCAAATTATTCTTTTTACTAAAATATATTTTTTAATATATTTAAAACAATTTATTCAAATCTACTTTTTTTAAAAAAAAAAAAAAATTATTTCCATATACAAAACTTCAAGAAATAAGAAACAAAAGAAACACAAATACCCTGTGGATCCGCATGTTTAATTAACCAACCAATCACAGCCAAGCCATCAACAACACTGGCCAATGGGATGTCGCCAAATATGAGGCAGGGCCCCACTCTTTTAGGATTCCTTATTTCCCTCGAAATTAAACCGCCACGCACCAACCCATCCATCTCCCTATATAAGGCCACTCAATACCACCCTTAGCTCTCACTTTTCTCCTTCGATAAATAAACCATAACATTCTTCTTCTCATTCCCTCTCTCAAACTTACTTCAATTTCAGTAACAATGGCACGCACAAAGCAAACCGCTCGCAAATCACAAGGTGTTAAAGGCCCAAGGAAGCAGCTCGCCAAGAAGGTTGCTATGAAGTCCGCCCCGACCACCGGCGGCGTGAAGAAGCCCCACCGCTACCGCCCTGGGACTGTCGCCCTCCGGTAACTAAACCCTAGCCACCAATTCCCCCTTTTTGTTTTCCCCTTTTCTATTTAATAATAATTTATGATTCATTAATCCACTAATTAAAAAAAAATAAAAAAATAGGGAAATCCGAAAGTACCAGAAGAGCACGGAGCTGCTAATCCGGAAGCTACCTTTCCAGCGTTTGGTTCGTGAGATTGCGCAGGATTTCAAGACGGACCTGAGGTTTCAAAGCCATGCGGTGCTAGCTCTTCAGGAATCGGCAGAGGCGTATCTTGTGGGGCTGTTCGAGGACACGAACCTTTGCGCTATTCACGCAAAGAGGGTCACTATCATGCCCAAGGACGTCCAGTTGGCTAAGCGCATTAGGGGCGAGCGCGCGTGAATTTGATAGTTTCGGTGTTAGGTTTTGAATAAATACGCTACTGATAGCAATTGATAATCTAGCTTCAAACATTTCTGCTTTTTAACTAAACCGTTGTCGTTTTAGAATTCAGTATTCTATGTTATTCTCGTTCATCGTTTATTACTGATCGGCTTTTGTTGTTTTTCATCATTGCATGGATGGAAAAAAAAAAAAAAAA